CCCCGACTCCCCGCCAGCTACCCAAGCCTGTCAGTTCTTAGGCTGGATGTCAAAATATGCAAAAAGAATTGCCGACAGGAGGGAGGCAGGGATGCTGGAGAGCCTTCGGGTCTCACCCAGAAAATGGTGTTTCATTACGTTCAACGCTAGTTTTCTGGGAAAGCCCCTTCGGCTCCCCGGAGCTAACTACCCAAAGACAAGGACAAAAGATGGATAACCCGGGAAGCTGAAACCACACGCCCGAGACCCGAAAGCAACACAACTGGCAATACCAAACGACCCCGCGGACACTCTAGGAGACCCGAACCCTGGAACAGGGACGAAAGGAACCCAGGCAACGCAAACCGCGACCAGGGCCACAGGATCCGGGGCAGATAGGCAATGGCAGAGGGCCAAAATCGGACACAAGGAGATGCATCCCCGGCCAAACCAAACAGGCATCAGTAACCCCAGGGACCCCCCTGAAAAACAGCCTCGCCAGAAAAGAAGAGATGGCTGCAAAGGAACAAACCGGACACCATAAGCCAAGGGAGCAAAAAACTCCAAGAAACAACCCAGAACAGAAGGAGCCACAAGTACCCAAATGAGCCACAGGGGGGTGAGAAAGTACTTACGCAGCGGCATAGTTGTTAACAGATGGAATGCATTACGCAGGGAAGTGGTGGAGGCCAATTCCATACACAGTTCCAAATGTAGATACGACAGAGCCCAGTAGGCTCAGGAATACGTACATCAGGTGATTGACGGGTGAGAGGTGGGACCAAAAAGCCAGAGCCCAACCCCCACAAGCACAACTAAACGAGTACAACTAGGCGAGTACATGAAACTGAGGGGAAAGAGAAGAGAGCCCCCTGGCCAAGACCAGGATGGCTCAAGCTGCGCATGAGCCGGCCGGGTGTGAAACAACGCCCAAGACAGCCTGCGAAACGTTGCAGAAGAAACATCAAACCCGAAATCAAGCCTGAGCGGCTCCGCCAGCGCCGCACGAGACACAGCGAAGCACGCAGGTGGGACACCAGCAACAAATCCACCTGACCACCAAACAGATGGTGAGAGACCCAAGGGGCACCACCAAGATATATATATATATATATATAGGTGTGGTCATACAGGAGGTTGGACAGAAAATTAAGTTGTTCTGACCCAAAAGATCGCTGCTCTACCAAAGGTCTGCAAAGTCCCACTTCAGGACCAAGAATAACCAGGACACTCACGAAAGGGATGAGTCTACCTAGACAAAACCCAATGCAACCAACCTGTAATGACCCGACAGTGCAGGGAAGGACACCCGACTCAACAGGTCCAACCCCAAAGAAGGAGGAGGATCCAACCAGCTCAACTGCAGTCCATGGAAGGGGACTGCAATGGACCCCAAATCATGGGGCCAGGAGCTGGCAGAGCCAGACGTCCCACACAATGATGTCAAAGGGGCAAACCGTGAAAGGGCCAGTGCGAACCCTGATCAGAACCAGCCTTCCACAATGCATGATTGCAATGTCGAGCAGAGGAGGAAGCCAGGAAGTACAACAGCCCGAGAACTTGACCCACCCAAGGACCAACCCAACCAATAGCAGGCAAGGTCCTCGCCCAACCAGACTGCTTCCGAAAGAGAACAGATTCCCGAGTAAACATTAACTGATCTATAGGGCGGCAGGAAAAAGCTGCCGCAGAAATACTCTGGACAATGACTTCCTCCAGAAAGAGAAAGGGGGAAAAAAAGAGTAATGCAGCCAAAATGGTAAGAAACCAAGCTAAATCTAAAGAATAGGACAAAAGAGCCTGTTGATACATGAGGCAGGCTGAATAAAATGCCCCCGCTGCATCCAAAAGGAGTGGGGCTAACATCTTAGGCAATGCCACCTAGGCCGGAATAGCAGGGCCACATGGTCTCCACCCTCAGAGTGGATTCCAGCGATTCCACATCCTCACAAAGATGCTCAATGAATCCCTCCACGAGGACTCAAGACACAAAACTGCCACCAGGTGCAAACGAGCCTTGTGATCTTTTGCAATAAAGGTCCCAGACAGCACAGACAGCTGCACATGAGCTGCCACTTGCCCATATCCCTGGAAAATGCTGGGGCAAACAGACAGCTCATTGGCGGAGCAAACAAAACCCTGCTCAGGAACATGTCAAAGACGAAGCTCACCTCCTGCAACTCAAACTTGCAAGTCTGACAGAAACACTGCCAAACTCCCAAGAGAAAGAGAGGGTTGTCAGCAAGCAAGGACGAGTCTGAGACCCCATACCGCAACCAGGAAGCAGACACAGATCTATACTCAAAAGAGACTGGGTCCAGCATGGAAAAAAAAAAGAGATCCACACTCTGCAGAAGGTACAGAAGCAAATCCACACAGACCACAGAAGGTGCAGCACATGAAGATGGAAACCTCAGGATGAAGGATGAATCCAAGTCACCTAGAGGAAATGAACCCAAGGGGAAGCAGCAGAGTAATCCAATTCATACACAGAAGGGGTGGGGGACAAAAAGTGACCCCCCCCCTGCAAAATCAAGACCCTCATCAGAAACGACCAAAAACCAGTGTTGAAAGGAACCCAGGGGTACTTCTCGGGCTTCCCCTCAACCCTGAAAGCCTGCCACAAAAGTTCTAGGGCAGAGCCAAAATCCAAAAAATCATCCTGAGGTTTCCATCTTCATGTGCTGCACCTTCTGTGGTCTGTGTGGATTTGCTTCTGTACCTTCTGCAGAGTGTGGACCTCTTTTTTCCATGCTGGACCCAGTCTCTTTTGAGTATAGATCTGTGTCTTGCTTCTTGTCTGCCCAACACACAAGACAGGAAGGTGTCCTTCCAAGGAGAAGGCTTGGGGCAAGAAAGCAGCTTTGAAGGCGAATGCTCCGAAACCCCCATGAGACGATAAGGCTCAAGTACCTTTGCCGTCGACATGGATGAGCCCACACCCCAGGCAAAGCCAAGCTACACCCCGAGATAAAACCTGTCTTTGGAGTCTCGACTCCAAAACCCTCAGACTTTTCGGAACCAGAGGGAAAAAGAATAGAAGCCGGGCGAACAACACCCACAGGGAATAGAAGAGGACGAATGGACTTAGCCCAGGTGGTCATCACCAACACCTCCAATTCCAGGTCCCTAAACTCCATTGGGGCCAACTCCAAGCATCCAGCCAATCAACATGCGACAAATGCCTAACATGAGCAAATCTAGCTTACAAAGTGGCAGCTGCCAGAAATGTTTCAAAGCTGGAGAAATTGCTGACCTGGAGAGCGTGCAGAGATCCTTTACTGCTAGAATCCACTCAGTAAAACATCTAAACTACTGGGACCAACTAAAGAGCCTAAATCTGTATTCTCTTGAGCACAGGCGGGAGAGATACATAATAATTTACACATGGAAAATATTAGAGGGGCTGGTCCCAAACCTGCACACAGAAATAACAGCACATGAGACCAGAAGGCATGGCAGGATATGCAGAATACCCCCGTTGAAAAGCAGAGGTGCAACAGGTACTCTGAGAGAGAACTCTATCAACATCAGAGGCCCGAGACTGTTCAACACACTTCCACTACACATAAGGGGCATAACTGGCTGACCCCTCACAGTGTTCAAGAGAGAACTGGATAAGCACCTCCAAAGGATACCTGATCAACCAGGCTGTGACTCATACATCAGGCTGCGAGCAGGCCGCATCCAACAGCCTGGTTGACCAGTCCAGCAACGAGGAGGCCTGGTCGACGACCGGGCCGCGGGGACGCTAAGCCCCAAAATCACCTCAAGGTAACCTCAAGGTAACACCCAACAAACAGTACGGAAGGGGCAGAATGATCATCATCCTGCAGTACCGACAATGAACACCCCCTCAAACTTGCAAATAACAAGAGCAGGCTTGATGAGCCAAGCTATACTAACCATGCCAGAGACCCACGGGGGGATTCTCAAGTCCTGAAGGACGGTAATGATGCAAACATCTCGGGCACTGGGGCTACTTGATGAAAGATCAGACCCCAATCGCAGCCCAAACGGACCTAAACCGAGGAATCAATGATCCTTGAATAGCCCTAGGTGAGGCTCCCCACCCCAGTGGTCAAGCCTCTCAGGGGCAAACTTCCAAGCACTCCCGAGAAGGGAACAATAGCTGAGAAAGGGCAGTGTTAAAGGCCACACAAGAAAGAACACCCTCTAAGCACTTGCAGCCCTATGTGCTTAAAGAGCGAAGCCCATGCTAAAAAAGAAGAACAGAACTAAAACACACATACATGAAGCCTATACCAAGACAAGGAACAATAAACAAAGCAAACAAGCTCTGCAGGACAACAGAGTCTAAGGTTGGCCAGCACTTAGCTTAAAGCAGTGAGGCTTGCCCACGCTCTGATGGACTGGTAGCACTACAGGCTATACTAATAAGTAAGACATCAGCAACAGAACTGAGGTGCTGAGTCGACTGCTCAAGGACTAGGGCTGAGCCACCTAGTGGTGGTAATTAGTACTAATGCATTTCGAGATAGTTTGAGTGAATTCCTTGTTCTGTGTGAATCTTTTGCAGAGTTGTTTGGTAGTTTCGAAGCTTTGATTTCTGTGAACCCTCTAGTTGTCTGTAAAGCTACATTGATTTTCTGATGGCTTCTTCTGGTGGGATGATATATATTGTCACCTACTCTCTGTGCCTTTGTCAGGAGGGCCAGGTTCTGGCTCTGGTCCCCCCCTGGAAGACCATACAGAATTTCCACGATCGATGTGACCCTTCAATATGTAGGAATCTTGGCAAGATAGCATCAGGGAGCCACCGGGGCAGCGAGGGAAGGGGAAGAAGCCTCCCTTCAGAAAAGTTAAATTTGAGAATTCAATTATACAAAGACTGTTGAACTTTACTTATGTAAAACTATGTAATTAAACATGGTTTCTCAAGTAATGAAAACAAAATATCAAGATGTTTATATACGAGACATTATCTAGTAATTTACACACAATATTAATACAGTATAAGTATATTTATCCCAATAGAAAACACATAAATAATCACTTACCTCTACAAGCGCATCATCAATTATGTGGTCCCTTCGTACTCTGAGTTTCAAATAAGGATTTGCAGGCATACCTTCCATTACTTGCTGATAAATGCTTATCCTTCTTTCTGAATACATTCGTATCCTGTTATCATAGTAGAGACCAAGAGCCTTAGTTGCTGCAGTGAGAATGAAGGGGAAGTTAAGAAAGCTAAACTTGTCACCACTTCCTGCTTTATAATAAGCAAAATCTCTGTCCATTTCCAGCTGATCACTAAGAAAATCATCATAGAATTCTGCAAGGGGCACAAGTGGTGTTCGGGCATCCAAGACGTGTACACCAAGTTCTGTGCCTAAAGAGTCCTTAGGTGGTGCCCTTGCTGCCCAGTCTTTGCCAGCACCACTCACACCAATAAATGGGTCATCGTGCAACGTGACTGATTCACCAGATGACTCTTCAGGGGGTAAGTCTTTTAATAAAGGAGTGTCTAATTCACCTCCAAATATGCAGGCATAAAATAAAAGCTTCATGACTTGTGTTGCAGAAGTAATGCTGTCTTCATCATTGATAGTAAAGTCTCGAGAGAATTCAGTAGTAAGGAGCTTTATGGTAATTAGCTGATGGAGAGACTCTAACAACCGATGTAACCGTGACCCATCCCATGTTGCCAAGTGTTTGGTTAAGAGGGCTTGATCTTTTTCGGGTAATTGACTGATCGTTCGGCACATCTTTGGCATCACTATCTCAATGAAATCAGTAGTGTTCAATGCTGGGCTTTCTAAAAGAATAATAAAAATATTTATATTATTTGGTATGGCAGTAAATGCATCTCTATGAGCACGAAGCTGTATACTAAGAGAATCTGAGAGCAGCTGTACAATAGCATTCATGAGAGTGCTTCCAAACTCTGCCTCAGGACACTCAAACAGAGCGGCGTAAGCCCTCCGTACTTCACTGATATCTAGAGTTGATGGCGAATTGATATCCTTTGTACACTGACTTTCATCTTGCTCTTTAACATCCCCCTCACACCTGCTAATTGCACCTTCCCCAACACACAAAACCTCGGCACAATCTAGGTCTTTGTCTAAATCTCTTTCTGATGCACGTAACTCCTCCTTACTTTGAACCTCAGAATTGTCTAGAGATTTGCATCCTACTAATGTTTCACTTGATCTTTCTCTTGATTCTGGACTTCTTAAATAGCTGTGTCTGAGAGCAACTTCATTAGAAAATACTGCCCATAAAAGTCGCCTTAACTTAGCATAATTATTTGCACTACGACACTCGGCTATTGTGAGAGAGAGCGTCTTCTCCGTCAGTCCAGGGGTTTTACTCAACTCGTCCACCTGCGGCGATAAAGGGGGCAGGGGTGTGCTGGGGTTCGAGGCACCTGCCATATTAACATCCCGCACTAAAGAACAAGTGGCTGTGTTTTCCAAGGAACTGTGCCCCTGAACAGAGGCCGTGCTAACACCACTACCTAATGTCAGAGACTGACTGGACCTGGGAACTTTGGCACCAACCACCTCACAGAGTCTGGCACGCACTGCAAATAGTTGGAGTGCCTTCCCTGCCGCTTCATTACTTGATAGTTGGCCAACCTGTAACAAAGAAACAAACGTTATTGTGCCTGAAATTGACAGGACATATTTTAAATACAGAGAACTTCATTGGAAGCATGTATATGGATAGGCAAATACATGCATGTACACACACAAGCACACAAACTAACATTCCCACATAATCATACACACGCACATGAACACTTGTATAAACACACACATGCATGCACCCACAAACATAATCGATGTATAAATACACGGACGGGCGCCCTTTAAGTACAACTATTAAGACATACCCAATGCAATTTCAAGGGTACTTCTACAACCTGGCAAAAAGCCAAGTTTGGTTGGTATCTACCAGGTCAGCCAAGTTGTTGCTACTTGGAATGGTCATCAATACCCCTGGCTATTCATGCACCCAGCTGAATAAACTTCTAATTCCCTCTTGAAGTATTGTAATATCAGCAGTACATTTTGTACATATCAGCAATTTCACACATTTACATAAGCAAAAATAAACATGCAATAATTTTCTTTAGGAATATATAGGATTCATGAACAGTATATATCTTTTATCATAAAAAACAAAAAATAAAAATACACCCTGTACCATCAATGAAAATGTGTTAACATTATCGCGCTCCCGGCAGAAGGCTCCTCAACTTTCCCCTCGTGCGCTGCGCATTTCGGGCTACCGCGCGGTGACACTGAAATGTTTATACAGTACTCTTGTCGGTCTGCTGACTTTAATTTTCCATGTATGTATTTAATTTTGGTATCAATTTGTTTGCAAGAGAATGCTCTAGAGGAATATATATATAAAATTTCACCAAAGCCGACGCGAGACCCGCACCAAATAAAACACTATAGTGATCGTTAACCATGAGCGCCAAACAGCGATGAAATGTTTATGCTCTTTTCAGGTTTGTCAACCCAGAATTGTTCTACGTCGTTAATTTTGGTATCACTGTGATCACAATAAAATTCCGTACACAGACATATGAATATAAGGTACAAAACATGGGCGTGCCCCACCCGCAAGACCGTGGGAAGTTGCCCAAGGGTTACCCGCTACCGCACGCCCATCTGCACCTCGGCTACACCCCTACTGAAAAGTTTATACACTTTTCATGTTTTTGACCGTAATTTTCGATGTACGTGTTTCATTTTGGTATCAGTGTGTTCTCAATGAAATGTTCTCAATGAAATGTAGAGGAACATATGTACAGTATAACATGTCACCAAAGCTACATGATGCCGGCACCAAATAAAATACAACCAAAGCTAACGTGATGCCGGCACCAAATAAAAAACAAAGTCGTTTGTTAGCCGTGCAGGCCAAACAGCGTGAACATGTCGCTACTCTTTCAGGTTTATCAAGTCCAAACTTGTTCGACATCGTTCTTTTTTCTATCACTGTGATTGCAATAAAATTTCCTACACAAGACATATGCATATAAATTAGACAACAATGGGGCGCATAACCCGCAACGACCCCTAATGTCGCCGAAGCCTTACCCGCAGGAGAAACTCTCATTGCCACACCCACTACACCCAATACACCAGACAAACACACACAGTCTGTTAACAGAAGTTGTTGTGCAACATTGTTCATTGTGGTATCATATTATTCGCAATAAAATGCTCTAAATAGAAAGACAAATATAAGCAATAACAACCGCAATATATATAAGCAATACGAATAACAAAGTATAAAGACTAAAGTCGGCAAAGTTACCGGTGAGCGCGCAAAATCGGTAAAATGTATACACTCGTTTCAGTTTTCTCATCTTATTTCTCGTGCTTCCCGCTTGATACCTGCTTGATGAAGTTTTGGGAGTTCTTCTACTCCCCAAGCTCGGCCCGAGGCCAGGCTCGACTGGTGAGAGTTTGGTCCACCAGGCTGTTACTTGCAGCGGCCCGCAGGCCCACATACCCACCACAGCCCGGTTGGTCCGGAACTTCTCTTAGAAAACAGTCCAGTTTTCTCTTGAAGATGTCCACGGTTGTTCCGGCAATATTTCTTATAGTCGCTGGGAGGACGTTGAACAACCGCGGACCTCTGATGTTTATACAGTGTTCTCCGATTGTGCCTATGGCACCTCTGCTCTTCACTGGTTCTATTCTGCATTTTCTTCCATATCGTTCACTCCAGTACATTGTTATTTTACTGTGTAGATTTGGGACCTGGCCCTCCAGTATTTTTCCATGTGTATATTACATCATTCGTTTTCTTATCATTGTGTTCACAATAGAATTCTCTATAGGGGTATATGCATATAAGGTCTAAAAGCCCGAAGTGACTCCCCACAGCAAAGCCTAAAGTCGGCCAAGCTACCCATGAACGAGCACCAATTGGCAAACCGGCAGACTAATGTATATACTCGTTCAGTTTGATAACATAAATTTTTGTGCTACGTCCTTCATTTTGGTATCAAATTGTGTGCAATCTAAAGGCACGTATTTTAAAAGTAGTCCCATAATAATAGAGCAATAAATGGAATTTTAACAAATATTTTAACTTTTGGACACTTTTTGATGCTCATCGCCACAAAATTATTTAATCTTTCCAGTGTTCTGACATCAATTTTCATGTTACGTCTTTCATTTTGGTATCACATTGTGCACAATCTAAAGGTGCTCATTTTGAGACCATTCTCAGATTGATCAGATAAAATTTAAATTTTTAACAAATATTTTAATGGATGACTCTGGATGTAGTCATCCGAGACAGTACGGGAGAAAAACCTGTGACACTAATAGGCATCATGAGAGCGTGAAAGTGTTAATTAACACTATCACACTCCGTTGCCTCTCCCCTATAGTCACTCTTGAGTCATCTCGGGTGACTCGGTCTCGAGTCATCTCGGGTGACTCGGTCTCGAGTCATCTCGGGTGACTCGGTCTCGAGTCATCTCGGGTGACTCGGTCTCGAGTCATCTCGGGTGACTCGGTCTCGAGTCATCTCGGGTGACTCGGTCTCGAGTCACTCATTAAAATATTTGTTAAAAATATAAATTTTATCCAATTAATCTGGGATTAATCAAAATCTGGGATTAATCAAAACCACTGGGAGTGGTTGTTGGATATTTCCAACACCGAATACAACATTGTTGTATTCTCATTACTTATTACTAACCATACTAATTATTGTAGTAAGTAAAATTAACAACACGTAGAATTCTCATGTACTAATAATTTCATCTGTGCAGTAGGCTAGAATTCTCACGTCACCTGACGCCAGTATTGCGTCAGATTTCCTTACAGTAAACACATTATATCCAATGTGTGTGAGAATTAAATTCGATTCTTCATAATTAAAGCATTCTGTATGATAACTAATTGCAGACGAATTGATCTCTAACTAAAAGCCGAATAGAGCGTTAGAATCATAGCGTCTATCTCGTGATAAAATTAACGTCACAAATGAATGCCATGGGGAGACATTAATTCCTCTCCCTTATATATTTACTATTCTTAAATTGGTAAATAACAATAATTTGTTCCTCTAAATAATAAACCCGTCCAGTCTTTAACGTTTCAAGCGCAAATGCGAGAAATATTAATGTTCGAGACAATAATTTGTTTTATGAACGCGGGCTCGGCGTGGGTAGAGGGACGCCATCTCAGTACACGTAGAGAGCTGATCAAGAGCAGACCTGCGCTTACCGTACTCATAAGAAGACGCCATTGCCCAGTAAATAGGGCAGGTGTTATCCATCCTCAGATGAAAGTCGCCACTGTGAGGCGTGAATAACCTTGCAGATAGTATCTTCAGCTAGTGCTGGTGTCAAATAAGGAGCCCTTTGACTTAGTTCCTGACGACACGTGACCAGCCAGCGGAACGCATCATTATTCAGGATAGGCTTAGCCGGAGCCTGAGATGCGAAGCACGGCAATCTTAATACTTACACAGTGACCACAGCTAAGTAAATTCCTTTATGTGATGCATCAGGTAGAAGTTTTGATAGTAGCAGGGTGATTGTCCGTTAAGACGCGCGATAACACCTAATAACAGGTGATTAAATTTGTCACCTGTAACTCTTAATATTCTTGAATATAGATTTAGTAGTTGGTTTAGTAGTTTAGTAGATTTAGTAGTTCAGTTGCTACTGAAAATTTATTTGTCTTGCAGCACGAGAGAAGAATTCTTCATACTGCCTTCCCCCATGTTAACCCGTTCCACTCGTCAGTCGACCGAGTCTGGAGAATAAGAGGACTTCTATGGTTTTCTAAAGGAATCTTCATTAAGCTAAGATTTATTTCCTTTTATAATTCTATTGCAATTTATTTTGTGCAGAATTCTTTGGGATTAATATGTGGTTTACTGTAACTCATTACTATGCTCATAATCTATGTTCCTCCTTTTGGTAATGATATCTGTTTCAATATTATTTTATAGGATTAGATTATTATTAATTGAATTAGTGAACGAACCACACTAATTCCTGGACGTACTTACCTCCAGTAATAACCCCCCAATGTAGGTGTTTGAGGTTTGTTTCATTTAATAATACAGCCCATTAATTATTATTATGATCATACTTTCTAGTTTTATCCATAGTTACTGGTTTCATCTAGGAATTATCTAATGATCAGAAATTCTCAGTTTCCCTCTTTACTTTAAAAGCGGGTGGTCCTTCGTAATTTGATTTACTACATTAATATTTAAATAATCAGATTCAAGCCCCAAATATCCCACAGTGGTTTCAAAATGGGCGCCTTTAGATTGCGCACAATTTGATACCAAAATGAAAGACGTGATGCGAAAATTTGTCAGAACACTGGAAAGATATAAATAATTTTGTGGTGATGAGCGTCCAAAAGTGTCCAAAAGTTAAAATATTTGTTAAAATTCCATTTATTGTTCTATTATTATGGGACTAGTTTTAAAATACGCGCCTTTATATTGCGAACAATTTGATACCAAAATGAAAGACATGACGCAAAAATTTATCCAATGTCGGTGTTAGAACACTGGAAAGATAATAAATACTTTTGTGGTCCAAAAGTTAAAATATTTGCTAAAATTCCATTTA